TCTTTGGAGGTTTGAGGGATTCTGAGGTGAGAGAGGAATTTTTCTTGCTTAGTAGTGGATCCACTTTAATAAAAAGAAAAATGTCTAAAAATGTCTAATAACATGTGATGGTGGGGCATGGTAAGGTAGAAAAGGCATATTCCTATAAGCCCTCCTTATTCTCCAGAATGATTTTATAGCCCCTTCTTCAAATGGCAGTGGTGCAGAGGGGGTGGCATGGAGAGGGATGGCATGGCATTTCACATAATGATTCTTCTTTAGAACTGTGCTCGAGGATCCCCTGAGAGGATTTTGTTTTCACCCAAACATACAAACACCTGTACTCATTGCCTTGTAGTCCCAGACTTGGAACTTCTAGGGGGAGAGAACAGAGACAGGGAAGTTTAAAACATTGTACAGGAATACTTATTTTGAGCAAAAGACTAGAGCTATCTAGCATGCACGGGCATAGGACTTGTCTCCTCCAACCTCTGAGTAGATTTCAAGGTACTGACAGCTTGGATAGATGTAGTCAGAGTAGAGGTGAACTTGACAGTGAATATAAGCCCTCACTGATATGACTGATAGAGGAGTATAGGCTGGTATGGCATCTCCCAAAGTGAGATGCAGGTGAGACCACACACATAGAGTTACCAAGTTAAGGTAGAAGCCAGTTTAAATGGAATTTTTTGTTTTTAATAGAAAGAATTCTGAGTCTCTAACATGTGCATAATCATTGTGAATCTCCTAGAAAAGGAATAATCAGGCAGTACTCCCCAAACTTACGGAACTCTGAGTATTTGCTTCAGTGTTTTAGGGGACTAGGAGTTGCAGGAATGCACTGAGGGAAATGCTGGTATGAAAATGGTTCTAACAGAGATTTTGAACTCTCCGTCTTATGGGATCACCTATGGCTTCATTAAAAAAAGAATGGACAGGAATCTACCCCAGACTCTCCAGAAGGGCCAATGCAGCTCTGTGTCTCTCAAGGCTCAGCTAGAGACACTGCTGTGCAGTCTGAGGGCTGGGTTCAAGTCTAGAAGCCACAGATAGTCATTCTAGTCCAGCCCATTTGGAAAGCTTTTTGCTTTCCAAATGGGCTTGTTGTCTTAGTTTTCTCATCCATTAGTAGGGAATCAGAACCACTCAACAGTATAGTTTTAGGTCTAAAAGAGTTAAATGAAATAAAAAATAAGCAAGCAGTAGGTGCTGTTTCAATTGTTAACCCTCTGTAGCTTCAATATAAATAAAAATAGTAAAAGTATTTGCCTTCTCTTTTTAGTTCACCTACCAACAATTTCCTCTAACAACTTGGAATTCTTGTGTCTGTGACCTTTGCTGTGCTTGGAGTGAAGTTCTGAAAGGCAGCATCAGAACATTAACATAACAAAGAGCGTTAACAGAGGCACCCACACCAGGTCATATGGAAAAAGAGTTTTCTATGTTTCAAATGGTGTACACACTCCATTTTCCAAGTGATTATCTAAGCTGCCCAATGAGCTGAAATCTGGCATTAGAGCATATAACAGAAGTGATGTCATCACGGGTTCACACTAATGCACACAAAAGCTGCAACATTTGGCCAGCAGCAGTTGTCTGTGCTCTTCTGTTGAGGCAGAGTTTTTAAAATATAAACTTCAAAGGTATTTCTATTTCTATCAGGGCAGATGTAATGGGATTTTTATAGGCATTGTAACATTTGGTGTCTTCATACTCCCTTTCCTTTTTAATAATCCTTCAGTCTTATTCCATTAAAAAGGTTTATAAGTTAGTATTGTGAGACAGTGTGTGTCTGTGTGTGTCTGTATGTGTATCTCTATCTGTATGTCTCTGTGTGTGTCTGAGTGTGTCTGTGTGTGTATCTCTGTGTGTATCCGTGTGTGTATCTCTGTGTGTGTGTGACCAGCTCCTCTGGGAGGGGGAATGTACGAGTGAATATGACTCTGCCCCAGAGAGGTGCCTTTGTATTTGTGTATGGATGAAATAGTATAGATAATTCCAGTCTTGCAAGTGGATACTATTGCAAAGTTCATTTGTAAGTCAGTAGTTGGGAACTTGGAGCACATTTTCTCATAAAGGAATGGTTCTGCCCGGTGGCCAGAGTCCTGGCCAGCCCACAGAGCCTGCTGAACTCATCCTGCACCTGAAGCAGGATTGCTGTTCACTCCAAAGAACAATGTTTCCATGGAAACACATTTTCAGAGTTCTACTGTTTAAGGTTGAGAATCCATGGATATAACTTTTAACTCATTTCCTAAGTTGCTTTTTCCCTTCAATAAATTACCAAGAAGAGGAGCTATTCATACCATGAATTATTTCTGGAATGTATTAGGTTAAAATAATATTTTTTTCTCCACTTGTTTTATGCACATGGAGAATTTAGTAAAAGGGATACACATGACAAGGAAAAGAGTTCCTTTAAACATTCTTGAACTCTTCAAGCCTGCTTTCTTGTCTGTTTCCTGGCTCTTTGCAAGCCACAGCTGGTCAGCTAACTGCAGAGGCAACTGTCACTGGCATTATGTTTGTTTTACATCAAAATGTATATTTGGGTTTTTTTTTTTATTTTATCTTTACCTTTCCCTTAAGTTTTAAAAACCTGCCCTATAATTTAAAAGGAATCTGAAATAACTAAGTAGTGAAATAGATTCTCGATCACCCTGACCACAGGAATCAGAAATGTCTCAAGTATACTATACACAGATTATGCTACAAGTTGTATAAATATATCGTAGAATCACAGGACTGGAAAGAACCTTAGCAGATTGTCTCATCTATTCCCTGGCTTCCAGACAAGCCAATCATTCCAAACAGATGAGCACTAACCCCTACTTGAGAGGAGAAAGATGACTTGGTCTTTAACCCTTTCTAGATGAAACACTTTCTTCGAAGGCATTCCTGAACACCTCAGTGTCTAACACTTTAACTGCTTTGCTCTGTCTGGGTTATTTGTACTCTTTTCAGCAGTGGGAACTAAACTTGAGCTATTATATTTAATGAGGCAGCTGAGATCTGAGCAAAGTTTATACACATAGGAAAGCAAACCCAGAGACAGGCTCAAAGGAAAATCAAATTCAATATTTATAATAAAATTATAATAGCATATTTATTTATAGTTACTCTAGCTAGCAAACAAGGCAGAGCCAGCTTTATCATATTAGTTCTTTAATCAGATAAGGAAATGACAGCGAATCTACCCCTATTAAAGTTATTTATAACAGGTGATATTCTGAAATGTCACCAAATATATTCTCTTGAGAGCCTTCTACAGAACCTACAAGAGATAATCTCAAAATATTTTTTACAGATTGGTAATTGATATTTAAACTTGGTCATCAGAGACATTTAATGGAAGCTTTAAAGGAGTAGGTATTTTGATCTCCATATTGGTGAAGACACTAAATATAGTATCTTTAAAGCAAGTACTCTTGGCAACATCACTGTCTTAAAAAAAAAACAGCGCATTTGCTCCCAGGAAAAAAGAGAGACAGGCTGTTGAAAATTCCCTTTGTTTTTGAGGTTTTTCAATGCCTCAGAGATGAGGTCTATGTTAGAAGTGGACAGGGATGGAAATTTCCATAATTATTGTCTCAATCTTATAGTAAACCATGTGTGGTTTTTTTATTCCCCAAACTTAGGTACTGATTGGGTGGCCTGATGATGGTTCATTTTATGTGTCAACTTGGTGGCCCCTGGGTGCCAAGATGAAACATTTTTTCTGGGTGTGTCTGGGAGGGTGTTTCAGGATGAGATCAGCATTTGAATCAGTGGATGCAGTCAAGCAGATTCCCTCCCCATGGAGGATGGACATCACTCAACTCATCGATCACCTCAAGGCCTGTTTCATTGATTGTGTTGGGACACCTCATCTCATTTCCCTGCTCTCAGAGTAGGGTTTGCATCATCCATTGGTCCATCTAGTTCTCAAGGCTTAGACTAAGTCATATCACTAGCTTTCCTGAATCACCCACATGCAGAAGCAGATCATGGGACTTCATTATCATGGGGACACCAGCAGAACCACGAGAGGAGCAGAGAATAAGTCCACGAAAGAAAGCCGGAGAGCCCAGAGTGAAGATTTGCTGGGGGCTGGGAGGCTGGGAGGCCTCCCAGCTCCCCAGCACCCCTACCTGCTGTGTATCTTGTAGATCCCAATAAAAGCTTGTAAAAGCCACCGAGGGCTCCAGGACTTCTCCCTTACCCCGCCTGCTTGGGTTATAGAGACTGTGCTCCGTCCCTGTACTGCCGCTACAACATGACTATTCATCCCTCCTCAGTAGCTAATGAACAGAAACAATTTTTTGAGACCAGGTTAACAATTGTGTCTCTGTAAAATAACTATGAGAGAAGTAGACCTAAATTTTCTACATTAGCAAGGCAGCTCAATGGAGACTGTCGACCCCGTTCTGTGAAGCAGAATCTACTTTCGTAGTTTCCTGGCAAGCGACATCCCTACTCTGCTGTAGCTTGTCTACTCCTGTCGGTCAGTTATATTAGGGCAGAATTGTTCCTGCGAAATGGAATCTGTTGCTACCACTGAATATGCCAAATATGCTTGCTTTGGACGCACAGGAGGCCCTGAGCTGACCACAGCAGGAAATTGGTACCCCTGTCAACCAATCAGATTCCCGTCCCAAAGAGGTCTTTCTCTTCATTCTACCCATAAAAATTTAGGAAACTTGCTTGAAAATGCAAGGGAAGAGTATTAAAATTAACTTTTCTCACTTGTACTGCCAGGATATCAGCATTATTCATAGCTCAGTGGTGTACCTACTTGAGATCTATGATTGCTAATTTTAGATAGACAGTGATGAGTGTACACTGTCCTTCATCAGTCTTAATAAAAATATCCCTGTGGGAAACTTTCCTCCAGAAACCTTAAGTTTCCTTCCATTCTGGCCAAAATACAGTATGAAATTGCAGCTCTGGTATTTATTCATGAGGAGTTTGAAGGATGTCCCATAAGGCATCCATTAATTACACAATTGAGTTGAAACAATTCATGGACAAAGACAACTTACTTGTTCATTTTTAGTAAGCCTGGTTTTGTTGTGAATGTCTGATGTGACTAAGTTGAATCCATGCTTCTCCGACAAGATTCTCAGAAGCAAGACCACAGTGCGGCTTCCACACTTGCCTACTCTGTTGTACACCACCTGGCTTGGAAAGGGCAGCACCTGGGAAAGAGCGAGAAGGCAAAAATGAGGCCTTGGTTCAGATACTTCCATTGCATCCCTTGATTTCAGAACAAAAAATGTTTGATTAACCTAAATGAGAAAGGTCTATCTCAAGTTAGTGAGAGAACATAACTGATGAACTCGGATTTATCTTCAGAATAACTTTAGAGAAAAACATCACTATCTATGCTGAGATTTAAAACTGGTAACATTTCATACCATCTAGTAAGATCAGTCATAATACTTCTTTCGTTTCTTCTTGGGACAAAATTTATAAATTTGTGCCTTGATGATAATACTCTTTCACAAGATATATTATGCTTTATTAGGACAACTTAATTTGTAGCATTATCAAGGGAACATATAGTAATTTTAAAATTAAGACATAATATACACACGATAAAATTCACTCTTGTGAAAGTGTACAATTCAATGGTTTTAGTACATTCACAAAGTGGTGCAACCATTACCGCTATCTAATTCCACAATATTTTCATCACTCTCCAAAGAAACTCCATATCCATTAGCAGTCCTTAGCACTCACGTTCTATTTCTCTCTATCTCTGCACCTTGATATCATTCATCTACTTTCTGTCTCTAGGTTTCTCCTACAGCATTCAGGATATCTCATATAAATGGAATAAAATATGTATCTTCTTGTGTGTGGTTTCTTTCACTTAGCATAATGGCTTCAAAATTAACCACGTTGTAGTATGAGACAATACTTTGTCCGTTTATGTCTGAATAATATATTGTACAGATATAGAAAATTTTGTTTACATATTCACCAGCTAAAGGACATTAGAATTATTTCTATTTTTTGGACTTTTTGGCTATGTAGCTTTATATAGGCCAGTAAGTTATCGTGAGAAACAGTTGATGAAATATTTATATCCCCAACAAAGATTTTATTTTTATTTCAAATGCTTAGCAGTGAGCAACAATCGACAAATGATAATTGATTCATTCATTTGGTATATACTCATAACAGAAGGCCATACAAAGGCCCAAAGCTAAAGAATGTCATGCTGTATGAACAGAAATATGTACCAACTTGCCTGAGGTATGTCATTTGAATTTTTTTCACAGGTTTAGTTATTTTCCTAAAGTATTTTACATGCAGAGAAGCATTTCACAAATTTGGAGCATAAGGCTAGTTGTTATTGGAATAAAGTATTATATTTATATCACTCACTGAACAACCAGTCATGTGCCATGTTGATGTAATTCTTCCAGTGTGTGTGTTTTGTTACCGAGTACCAACTCACTTCTTCAGGGTCAGCCAGTATCTTCCAGTGTGTCTCCTCTCAGGGTCTAGAACATGCCTTGTGCACACAGGGCCTCAGTACACAGCGATGGGTTTCTTGGAAGCTCTCAGGGACTTAATATGTTGTTTAACACTTATAAGGTCAGGAACAGGACACAGGGCAGGTTTTCTGATCCCACGCAGACCGGGTAAAGGAGGAGTCAGAATCCTCAGTGGTTTTTCAGGTTTTTATTAGGGTTCAGCGGGTACGTGGCAGGCAGGGGTGCTGGCAGTCCTCCCAGCCCCCAGCAAATCTTCACTCTATCTGGGCTCTCTGGTGTTCTCTGCTTCTGCTTTGGGCTTCTTCTCTTTTGGCTTCTTCTTCTCTTTTCGGCTTCTACTGCTCCTGGCGTCCCCATGACGCCGCCCTTAAAAAGCACAGTCTTAGCCCAGGTGAATCCCATCTACCTATGCCCACACCCTATTCCAGGTGCCCGCCATCAGGCATGCATTCAGGACTGCAAGGATCCATCATCTCTCCTGATGGCGGGAGGGCAGAAAAGCCTGACATTTTTCCTTACCCTACAACACTCCTTAACACAATGATTCAGCTAAAATGTGAGACCAGGAGAATCTTCAAATCCAACTGAGTTTTCAGGCCAAATGGTAATAAAAAATATCTGGGTAAGAAGATAGTTATTGAAATAGGTCAACTTATTTATAGCTCAATTGGTGAGTACCCCCCAAAAGTTGGTTCTCTGGCAATGATTCAGGTTCTTAGTTACCAGATCATGACTCAGAAAGGTGGAACGAGGCTTCATATTTAATGTAATGATAGTAGTGGCTTTTGGAAATTTCCATAATAACCAGCCTGTGGTAGGGATGACGGCTGTGACAGAGAAGCCAACCGAAACACAAAGTTTAATTTCTTTGGAGAAATAAACTGCACAGGAATTGGGGTGAATGCATTTTCCCTCGTCTTCTAACTTAGCACAGAACAGCAAGGGAGAATTGACGACCCAGAAGATGTGAGTTGTCACATATGTAAGTACTTTACAAGAAGAGTGCAGATTTAAATGAAGCACTGAGGCACTTATAAAGAAACATTAGGTGAAAACACTTAATTTTCCTGAATTTATTGGATAATTAACGCAGTAGCAGGCCTAGTACCTCTCTACTTCCTTTTGCTAATACCTAAAGATGCTGATACTTTTAGGTTATTGGTTAGTTATTTTTAAAAATGTGTTCCTTACAATTCCTTACAATCTTATGGGAAGCTCCAAAATAATGGTTTTAAATATTTGTTATTTTAAAGAATGCACATAAAAACAAAATCCCTGCGTCATTCCTGCAGCTGATCTACAATCATATTTGAAAAGAAAGGAGAGATGAACATCCCACTGTGATTCATTTTTACCATTTCTTTAAAGATCATTCTACAACCACATCCACATTATTCCACATCTCAACAATGTGTTTCCAGAGCTTTTTAAAATCAGTCTTGTAACATTTAAAGACACAGCATACACCATCACAAACATAAACCTGTCTCAAATTTAGAGTAGAGCTTTCAAATCATTTTCTAAAAGAGCCTATATAATGCAATGGACATTGACTAAACTAATGGGTTGATTTGAATAAGATGATAAAATGAACAACAGCAGCAAGTTGATTAGTTCCTGATCTGACAGAAAGATCCATTCTAAAAGGTCTGCTTTTAGACTCACTGTCATCTTTAACTTGAAGTGTAATTTCCGGAAAGATGGTGAAAAGGAGAAGTGATTTTTATGGAGGGTTACTCCTGACCCTGTGCTAAGCTCTGTGCATAAAGCTTTCAATCCTTGTTAACAATACTGAGTCAAAGAGCATAACTGTCTTCATTCTAGCTGTGCATTTTCCTAGGAGTTTAAATTATCAAGCAATTAAACATCATTAACAGCATCTAAGTGACTCCCCTGGGTGCCCCCACTTGCCCACAGATCATAGATATAGCGAAAGTCAAGGTCCAGATGCAGTTTAGAAAGATCCACCCATCTCACCCCTTCACTGTTGCCCTCCGTCAGCAGCTCCCAATCATTTGACTTGCTAGAGCTTCCCTTTGTGGTCTTCTCATCCTCCTAAGGACCCAGTGAGGTCGAGATCATGACTATTTTTAGATGGAAAAAACCGAGACCCAGAAAGAACATCTGGTGACTCTAAGGCCACAAAGCTAAAAAGCCTAGTTTCATACAACGCCAGACTAGTTCTCCGCGCCCCTGGCCCCTAACATGAAGCACCACCTAGTATGCTGTGGCATCAGAGTGAAAAAGATTTTTAGTTTGACTTCTATGACAGAGACACTGTTTCCTTTTTTAAAGTTGCAAAGGCTTCCGACCTCATTAATTTTTTATTTTTTATTTTTTGGAACTATCAGCTCTCACGCCCAGTCCCACCAGCTCTTACTCATCCACAAGTCTCCAAAATGCTCAGGTAGAGCTGACAGGAATCCATTAGTCCTTCTTTCTTCCTAAGGACACATTCTAGAAGCTAATGGAAGCCTACAGTAGCACAACAACTAATGGGGAAAGATGAGTAGAAGGATGTAGTTCCCCGTTCATTCCCTCCCCTCCCTTCCCAGCTGCCTGGGTCCTGTGGACCCCCTTCCACTAGCAAAGGGGGAAAACAGGATGTAGTAAGTCAGAGTAAAATGTATATGAAATCCTAAATTCACTTGAAATGTCCATCACGTCAGGTGAATGCCCTCAAACAATCAACTTAATGATTATGAAAGGGACTGGTATTTTCCATTGCCAGGCAGAAAGCCATCCCCAACTTTATCTCCTATTATTATGCATGCAAGAATTTTGAATAGTCACTCTTTCTCTGGGTCTCCTATAAAGAAGTACACACCAACACCCCTCATCCAAAGAAAGCTCCTTCTGCCCCCATGACTCTTCGTTCTTGGCAACCATGGTTATATGAATGTTATGTCTGTGGTTTCTATTTTATGGCCAATTTGTAAAAGTGAAGGGAGCTCCAAAATAAGTCACTGCATGAATTACATATTTATGTACGTTGCCTGCCTTGTCAGTTCTGCAAATGCCACAAATCCTCAGGGGCTGACAGGCTTGAACGGAGCATGCCAAATAAACAGAAGTCTCCAAAATCCGAGCACAACAGTAACTACCACCAGATGATGTCCACGCTGTCCATAGCTTAGCCATGGCTTGAACTAGGGAGGGGAGAATAAGACTTTCTAGGTAAAAAGCAAACTTGGTCTGGACCAAGACTTTCATAGTCTATGATTATAAGTCACTCTGGAGACAGTTCTTGTTGCAAGAATTAACTTTAATGCTGCTTTTAAGTCTTTACAGGACTTAAAATGGTATTTAGTAAAGCAGGTAACAAGAAGTGGCTCCCAAATGGCTGTATATTTGAATTACCTTCACATCTTTAAAAACTGCAGATTGCAGGGCCTTACTCTAAGATCAGCTGATCAACAGGAAGATCTAAGATCAACAGGAAGTGTAGGGTGAGGGTGGGGTCCAGCTCTAAGAACTCCTTTGGTTGCTTCTGTAGGGGATACCTGGCCTCCAGGGTTAAGGGTTGAAGAGCTCCATGCAGTCTCCTGTGGGTTGAAGGTAGGAGAGAAGGTCACCTGCCAACTGCTGGAGGGATATGGGTCAAAGTAACTGCTCTGTCTTTCTTGGTCTTCCTGAACTGCCGATGGTCCCCATGGTTAAAGGTTACAATGAGCCTGACAAACATGCTCCCG